CATATATTTAAATTTGCATTAAAATTTTAAACTTGTACGTCTCTCCGTATATACGTGTGTATATCTGTCTATCTGTCTGTTCCAGTCAAACTTCATTTTTGTAAATTGTCAACGTTAATTATTCATATTCAAAATTGGATTTTCTTAGCCAACAAGATTATCTTATGCTCAATACACAATAAAATAAAATCCCTCAATTGAGGAAAACATTGATGAAATTTATCATTGCATTTATGCAATAATTTTAAAATTGTTTCTGAAGGAAAGAAAATTCAAATTCGAACGACTAACCGGAAAAAAGCTATTAAAATTAAATGATTGATAATTACAATGATTGCATGCATGTCATGCATGTGTCGACTTTGTAAATAAGAACGACAGAATTATATGTTAATAGAAATTTGAAGTGTGAAAATGTTAAGAAAACAGGAAATAATGAAGAAGAAATGGAATTTGAAGTGAATTTTTCCTTATTTAAAGAAATGTTTTCATTTTCTATGCAACATGAATCATATATTGCTTTCATTCCGGTCTGTTGACGATGTTTTCGTCCTGCAAGACGATAACAGGAAAGAGAAAACCGGTACATGGAATGAAAAACAGTAGCAAAGATGAATGCTGCATATTTACCATCCAATTAGACTATCATCGTATTAAAAAGCTTAAGAGAAAGAGAAAATATTTGCTTCACTTTTAATTTCAATTTGTTAGTATTCCGAATTCTATGGACTATAAATGGAAAATTATGTAACAGGTTTCAATTCCGCTCAGAAAACTAGTCGATCAGTCATATTCGCTTTTAGAATATGCAAGTCATTTAAAATATTATAGTATAAAATGATGGGAAACCGGCGTTGCCTTACTGCAACTGCGTGCTACTATAATGTTATTATTACTTTGTGATCAGGAATGACATTCACTTTCTAATGACATTTCTCCGTTTGTGACACCTTTTAATGTCACCGTTTATATATTTTCATGATAAAATTTAAACTTTGAAATTGGTTTCTCTTACAATTCTTTTACCAATAAAATCAATTAGATTTCAATTAATCTAAAAACTTTTCAGTTACTGAAAATTATAACAGATATTTTTGAACGTGTAAAATTCCAAATAGAAAATATTGAATGGTTTTTACAAGATCTAAAAAAAGTAGGAACTTATTGGCAGAGAACTGATAACAAAAAAATAGATATTTCAACTAATCCAAAAATTTCTCGACTAGTGTGTGTATAAATTCTAAAATGCTGTAATATATATTTCCTTGTTATTACGTACATGACTCTTACCAAATTTCAGCATTCTTCTGATAAGAACTTTAATAATGTTTTTTTAATTATTCAGTACCTAAATGGTGTTGCAGAAATTATCAAAGTATTTCTACTTATTGGAAGTCATGATAGTTAGTTTAAAAATTAAGATTTCAAAGTTTTCATCGTCTGATTTCGAAAGATTTGTTTTCTAAACAAAAGAAAATGTTAGGATTAATTTTTATTTTATTAATCATAATGACAGTTAGTGCAATACTTTAAGTCAAATTCAAGCTGCTTTGCATTACAGATCAGATTCTGCAATTATTTTCTTTTTGACAATTTTTTGTTACTGAATTTTTATATCAATTATCTGTCGTCTTTTTTTAATTATATTAAGAATTTTTCATTTAATATCATAAATTTACCATACTAACTGCTGTGAAGAAGAAAAACAATAAAAATGTGTCGAATATTTAAAACTTTATTAAAAATTTGATTAATAAATCTCACCTTAATTTTCAAACCATGTATTCTCGAGCTGAAAGTATGCATGCATACTTTGCTGTCACAATTCTTTGATGTCATTGTAAAAGATATAAATATAAGCATATTTTACTTTACATTATAATTTACAAATACAATTTTTGTACAAAATTCTTATTTGCAGCCAAAAAAAATGACAAAAATTTCACCGACAATAGAACAGAATCCAATGCATGTCATCGTTATTAATGACATTACCTTTGAGAACAAATCGATCGAAAGATCCGGTATATTATCAACTAAATTAATCGATATGGAAAAAAGAAATACCACCCATTCAAAGGTTCATATTTTGTTATAAAACTATGAAATGTGATCATACATAGAGTGACAGCTGAATTAAAAGTTATGTTGTAATTTACAGATGTAATTTTAGAACTAATATGAATTAAAGAGAAATAGTTTCCCTTTGGAAGTTCTGTTTGTAGGACAAACACATATACTTACATTCCTTTCAAAAAGCATAAATACTCCTGTATCTGGCTATTTTCCCTTAAACAAGAAATGAGAATATTCGACATAATAATTAATTTTAATGAATTATTGGATCTAATTAAGCGTTTTGAAATAGAAATACAGGAACAATTACCAATTTATTCATAAAATGCTCATGTTTCTTTTTTTTGCGTCAAAAATTATAAATGTATTCCAAGTCGTTAATTAGAATTCTCTTCTTAATTGTTTCAGCATTCTAAAATTTTTGGAAAATGAGTTGCTTGAAAGTTCAAAGAATTGACTATGAATGTCATATCACTATCAGTGCCTTTGTTTACTTAATATAAAACCAGAATGTCACGTGATATGCGTCATTAATGAACTCTATGAGTACACCAGTGATTTGTGTTATCATCAATAATTTGTGATGTCACTATTTTAGCGATACAAAACCAGAATATCACGTGATATGTGTTGACATTAATGGATATCTCCAACAAACAACGTTAGAGACTAATTATTGTAAAGATAGTTTAAGAAACAAAATGGTTAGTCTTGAAAAGCAGTGAATGAATTACTGCCATTTTTACACAGTGAAAATTATAGCATTAGACAGTTCTTCTCGTCTGCCACTAATGACAGTTTCTTCAGTTGATCTTATCGATAAATTCTTATGCTTCTCATCATGTCATCATGAATTTGTTTTGATAACAGCTGTTTGCTTAGCTGGACAGTCTTTCATCTGTTTCCCGCTTTCTCACTCTCTACCGCTTTTGATTCTAAAGATTGAAAGTTGATTTCGAATTCACTAATTTCATCTTAATTTAAGTTCCACTGTCTTCCTGGTAGTACTATTATTTACTAAATATCATTGCTGAACAGCTCTCTGAGAAGCTTGAAACAAACTTGAACATTCTTTAGATTCACAGCCGCTTATCGCATTTTGTTTTATTGCTAACCTATATTTCACTTTTGATGTTATTATTTTCTCTTCCGATTTAATTAGAAAGACAACTTCATCTTTGAAATTAGAAATAGCCTTGATTGTAGAGCAACAATGTGGCATTGGTTGTTTACTACTGCTTCGAAAAAAAAGAAGCGCTTATCGATAAAAACTGGAATTTGATGAAATTCAAACCTGAAATAACGCTTAGAGACATTTTCATACCGTTAACAGTTACCAGAAGTAACAACAAAGCCTTATCGAGTTTTCGATGACCTCCGATCGAAGTTCTTTCCAACATTCACCTATAAATGACCCACTTGTCATCCATAATTTCGATCACAGCGTAAGTCTCTTCTTCATGCTTTTTTAATTAATCGATACTGTGAACCATTTTTTTAACGAATTTTACACAGAAAATACAAAATAATGAGTTTAATGGAGTAGTCGCATATAATTATATTACATTCCTCATTCCCGACTCACTGACTCCGATAGTTGGGAATGTTTGTTACTCCCGAGAGAGCGATCGTTGTATAAGTAGGTCAAATATTTGATTATAGAAAATGTTAGTAAAAGCAAAAAAGTAACCATTTTTGAGAAACGTTCCCGGGAAGTTTCATCCATACTACTGTTTGTTTGACTTTATCAGTCCTTTTTTATCAGTTTTTCTCCAAGCAAAGCCTTCAACTTTCAATCTTATCAGCTTCATATTAAACCATTAAATAAATCGAGCTGTACTAAACTGCCAATTTTACCTAAACATCAAGCGGTTTCATCTTTAAAAACATTTGAACATGGATTAGTGTTGATGTTACATCCTCTTGAGAAGAATTGATTTAGTTGTAAACAATAATTTAATACTTCACTAAACTGATGGATGATCACAACAAATACAGAATAAATCTTTTAAATTAGAGGCTCTTTTAACTTCACCTCTGTTTGAGATAAGTAAATGATTTTATTAAAAATATCAAATTTGTTGGCTAACAAGTGCGAAACATTTTTCCTTTTTTAATTTCCTATAACTTCCGTAAAACATTTTAATTTGATTTTTGATTTCAACTTTTAAACTCAATCATCGGCTTCTTCCAGAGGTTAGCTTCAGTTCCCATCTTGGTTAATAAATAAATTTTTTGTCTAATATGTATCAATGTTTAGCAAAAATGTTAGAGCATTGTGGATTTTAAATTTGTGGGGACTGTTCATAATCGGAGGCTGTCTTCGGAGGGTTTTTTTTTTTCATTTTTGATTTTCAACCCAAGTCAAAACACTAAGAAATGACCTAAGTTTTTTTTTTTTTTTTTCAAAATTTTTTATTTGCTTATAGTTTTTTTTTTTACACATAATATGAAGATCATTCTTTTCGAATAAAATGTCAATGGTCAAATTATTCTGATTCGATACCAAGATATTTCTTTTTTCTTAGACGATAAGTTCCATTAATTAAGGCTTTCTATCAATCTGCACAGCGCGCTGAAATAATCTGAAGCACTCCGGTACCCGACATTCCGGTCTCATTTCATTCACATGCACTATCTGATGAAAATGATTTAATGCACAGCCATCGAGTTGCAACAGCCGCAAGTATTCCGCAACGGAATTTGCATTATGGTGTGGGCGGGTTTGTATGTCGTGGCAGGGGCGTGCATTCTACGTAGACTATTTGCAGTTTTTGAGGGTTTCCATTTGATTTTATGTCCGGCACTTTAGTCATTGCAGGTACGTTTAGACCTTCCGTCTTGATACGGCACGTACATTTCACAAGGGGAAAATTAGACCAGTGTGTAATTGTGCCGGAGACGTTCCCTGCAATTCAATCAGTATGGCAGAAGAAATGCTGTTTGGACATCAAAATGAAGCATTTGAGTATATGGACGAAAGGACGGATGATACTGTAAGCACGGAGTCAGGCTTCATAACCCCTACCAGAGTTCCTTACACACGATACCGATTGAAACGACATAACTACAAACTTAATACCGAAGGTATCAGCAAATCGGGGGATGAAGAAGTTGATAAGATGAAGAAACTGGACGAGGTAATAGTGATATTTTTCCCTTTCCAAGAGAGCTGATTTGTGGTAGTAATTCGTGTTGTTACCGTTACTTTTTTCTATCCTACTTAGCCATATCTAAATGTAAAATTTCGTGAAATTCATTCCAGTTTTTGCAGTATCTCACAAAAATGTGATTTGTTACTAAACTTGGAGAGGCTAAATGAAATAAATGAAAGTTAAAATCCATTGGATAGTTGCTATGTTGCGCTGTCATATTCTTTTATTTTTGGTGGTAGTGAGAACTCACTTCTGTTTATGTTGCAGGACTAATGCAGTGCTCACATGGAAATCATATGTTCATCATTCAAGTCTTTGCATATTAATCTATAAGAGGAACACATTTTGAGCTAAACATGAATTTATCGAAATAATGTTATTATACAATGGTTTTTCCTTGCAGTAAATGAATGACTGTAAAAATTGAAATGATTTCATTTTCAGAGTCCATCGGAAGATTTACCGTCGTCATGGTTGGGTCGTGTCAGAAAATCATTTCAAGGAGATTTCGGATCATTATGCTTGTTAACATTTCTCTATTTACTGCAAGGCATCCCTTTAGGTTTGATTGCAGCCATTCCACTTGTACTGTCCAGTAAACATGTATCATATGGTCAACAAGCGGTCTTCTCATTTGCACATTGGCCTTTTAGGTATATTATACACTCTTGCTACGTATTTTTTGGTTTAAATGATAGTTTATATAACATAGAAAAAATATACCTTTCTGATAGTCGTCATGGAACATATTTTAACATTCCGAATAAATTTCGAAGTTATAAGCAGAATTATTGTGGAGTTTTCATTTTCCTTGTTAAACATATGCAGTGACTGAATTTTTTTAAGAATGTTTATTTTTTACCAGTGTGAAGTTGCTTTGGGCACCAATTGTGGATTCGGTTTACTGGAAACGTATAGGTCGTCGGAAATCGTGGATGGTTCCATGTCAGTATCTTATTGGCATTTTTATGCTTTCATTGTCCTACAGAGTTTCCGAAATTATGGGTGATAATGGTGCAGGTAAGCTTTTTTGTTATGCTTTTAAAGTGGAAATTGTACAAGAAGAGCAGTTAGAGAAGTTATTGGATTTACTTATTTAGCTCTTTATAACTAAGCATATACAGTTATATTCTGCAATATTCTTATTTCAGATTCAAAGCCGCCAAATGTGTTCTTATTAATGTTTTTGTTTTTGCCATTGAATTTCCTTGCCGCTACACAGGATATAGCCGTGGATGGTTGGGCGCTTACCATGCTTTCTAAGTGATTACTTGCAGTTTTGTAGTATACTAGTCTTATAGTTCTAATCTAATAGTGAAGTCAGGAACATATATTTTTATCCTACTCAAGATGGTATGTCCTTTTATCTTCGATAAATTAGATTATACTTTATCATAATGCAAGAGTTTTAAATATTATGATTATACGTAATACTTTGTTACCATATTTTCATGTATGATTTCGTTTGTTTACACTAACATTACCATTTTAGTTGTAATGCATTGAATAACCGGACAAATCTTTTCTGAGTTTGTTTGGATTTAACAGATAATATTGATATTATAGAGAGAATGTTGGGCATGCATCGACTTGCAATGCAGCAGGTCAAACAGCTGGCTTTTTCTTGGGAAATGTCATGTTTTTAACGCTGGACTCACCCGATTTTGCCAATCGTTTCTTCCGTAATAAGCCGGAGCCGTTCGGCCTAATAAACCTGTCCGGTTAGCTCTTTCCTGTTTTTTTTTCTTGTTTTCATGTATGTTGCATATATTTTTCATCTATTTTTTTAGTTGTAAATGTAGTATGTCAGTTTTGAAATGAAAATTTAATTAGGACACTGCTCTCTCTATCTCCGTATGTAGTAACGAGGATTAGGTATTTGAGTTAGACTGCAATTTTGAATATTACGACAAATAAATTTTGAAATTACTTAACTATGTGGCAATTTTTTCTAATATTCCAGGAAAAACTTCATAACAAATTTTCTAGAAAACTCACTTTCTTGCATTAATTTAATTGGATGTAAAGAATTTTTTACGAACGAAAAATATGTAGAAAGAAAAGAAGTTGGAAATATAACATCGTTTACTGTTTTATATGAGAGAAAATCTAATCAGTACTTTTGGTACTCATATTACTATTCCGATGAGAATATTTTCAAAATCTCAGTCTTTGAAATTCTGGATTGGTTATTTATATAATGTACCGCCTTTAAAGATTCTTAATTTTCCTGAAATGTAACAAAACATAGATTTTTAGTGCAGCTAGTAACTAGAATTTTTCAGTATGTAATTAGGATGAACATGAAACAGTGGCTTCATGTGTTTAGTTTTAGTGCAGTTTACTTTCTCCATTTAATGAATCGAAATATATTGATTTACTAGTCGAAGGGATTTTTTATATAGAATAAAATATTTTGAAGAAAATCCAAAATTATTGACATAGTTTGTAGTAATCTCTATCAGTACTCGTTTATTTTTTCTTCAGTAAGTTGTCTACTTCAGTAAGAGTACAAGAATGCTTGAAGCGAAATAGAAGTAGACAACAGAGCTATTTTCCACTCTATTTCAGAATGCAGCAATTTGCAATAGTTCTTTTTAATAAATGGACGGTGATAAAAAGAATGCTATCTTTGATTAATGAAGAGAGGAGAATGATCGATATTGGCATATTAAAATTTGAACTGGAAGAGAACATTTATAAAAATAGCAAATAACGTAAATCGTAAGGAATCATAGTTTGTAATAGGAAATCTTGATGAAAAGATGTATTTTACACCAGTTATTACCAGATAAACCATCGACTAGCTCGTTCGTCCTATCCAATAGAATGTGTCGAAAATCCTCAACTCGCAGCTGTAAGTAATTTGGGATAAATCAATAATGCATAAAAGCAATTTAACCAGCGTTAAAATGATAGAGGCCTCGGGGGAATCATTTATGTTGGAGTTTTGAACTACTGGATTTTTTCAGTTCCACCAGGAATTTATCCCTTAAAAGTAAGTTACTTCAGTCAGATGTCGAATAATGCAATAAAATTTCTCTTTTACTCCTAACAGTTTGGAATTAATAAAGATTAGTTGAGGAAGAATGAAAAGGCGTCAAAACTTTTATTATATCATTTTTAGAAAGATTGTTTGAATGACATGCCGCCGCGGGTTTGTAACACGAGGCCTGGATTAATTATTCTGAATTTTCTTAGCCATTCTTAAAAATTTCGAGAGTAGTGCTTATTTCGGCAAAAATATTACATTACGGATTCTATAACATAATCCAAATTGAAACCGTCTGGCCACATCTTTTTAAGAGATTTACTGTCCATTGATGACTAGTTTAAGTAATTCCAAATGTATGCTTCCCGTTTTTTAAATTATAGAGCTGCAAAAACGACTATTTTGAACTATACGTTTTTACTCCTATGTATATTGTATAATTTATTAAAACAGAAAATGCTACAGTATTGTTTCATCGCACCATACCTTGTGTTAGCATATTGATCGTAAACAGCACTCATACCATAGCCGCCTCGATCACCAATAATAACAGCTGACCACCAGTTGCCAAAACGAATTTCAGCTTGCTCCTTCATATACCTTGCTTGATAGCTGTATTGGTGAGGAAAGAGACCAATTGTTTCTAATACAAGCTCGCGGAGCTTCTCCGATTTGCAGTTGTCCATTGTAATATGTGCTCCTTCAAATTTCTTATTCCTTTTTTAATGCCATTGGAAAAAAGTGATGAGCATATTTATAGTCAAAAGTAAACACTCAATGAGAAAAAACGTGAAGAGATATCAGTTTTGCATAAAGTGTTATAAGTCTTAAAAAATTAGTAGAAAAGAGAAGAATATACAAGCTTCCATGCTTCCATATCTAAGTGAAGGATATTTGGATGGCCGTGATTCGGACTAATGTTTTTGCTTTTTGGTGGATTAAAATTATGGATTAAAATAAGTCCACTAATAATAATAATGAGTGGAAAACTTATGGAAAGGTGAAAGTGAAAGCGAAGTACACTTGAGTTCAATTTACAAATTTAGAAGGATTAGAATGAAAAGTTGGACATTATAGGACTCTATTTTCCTGGGAAGTTATACTGATGAGTTCGATAGGAAGAAAGAATATATCAGACTGTTCATTTAATATAAAGTAGTGAGACGGGTGGTATATTTTAAATTATGAAGAAGGGATAGATATTTGAAGAAAAAAACAAACTGACCGACGGTGTGTCCTTGGATGATAACAGTTGTGATAGCAACACATAACAGAAGTACGAGTAGAGAAGGGAGGTGTCGTATATCGCTGTAAAGGTGCATTGTTGTCCGCTTCGTTAAGTTTATAGCAATTGAGCCGACCACTTCTTGGGATCCCCGAGTTGTGTTACTGTTGGTGGCACACCGTAACTGTTTTCAGAAGATGGGTGACAACAATTATGACCCTAACGGAAATCTATGTTGATAGAGCTCAACAGGTGAAGCTTAAGCTTTAGAAATTGCTTTTCTAATTCCTTATGCTGAATTAGATAGATTTGCGCATCCACTTTCTCAATCTGAGTTTAGGCTGTGAGTAATGATAGGATGGAATTCAATTTGTCGTTTAGAGCAGATTGCTCCTCAATTCTTAGGACCTGTTGCTTATTCTCGAATGCTGCTTTCATGTCTTTGTCACTTCCCTGTTACTCACCCACTTTTCCTTGCCACTGCTGCTGTTGCTACTTTACTGTTCGCATTTTGTTCTATGTTACGCATCCGTTTGGTTCTATCATGAATCTCTGCTTCTAAATAAATTGAATTTTTTTCGCCTTTTTATTTTGGTCACCCAGTCTATTTCGTGAATGTCTCTTAGCTTAATTCGTTCAAGCTTCTGAAAATATATGCTCTAAAAGTGTAACGGAACTTTTGGTATTGATATCAATGTTCGATTTCAGCTAGTGCAAAAATTTGAAAAGAAATAAAAGGTAACGTCCTCGTTTTCTCCGTCATATCTAAAATAACGCATTATCTAGGATAGCTATGTTCTTAAGGATTTTTAATATTTCCGAAAACAGCTGTAAAATTCCTGACTTGTTCACGTTTTCATATCATGAATTAATGTGTGTGCATTAGATTTATTTTGGTTTCCTTTATGGCTTTAAAGAATTTGAGATTTTTTCTTACTGATTAGATGGATAAGTATTTTACACGGATTCCACTTTTTTAGTGGTGGTTTCTTTGCAGTTTATGAACAATAATGTAAACTGTATTGCACAATATGAATTTACCTGATTTTCTTTCCAAACTACATTATTCTTATTCAAAGGAAATTATGGTATAATGACAGCTGCATAACCTTTCAATTGTTGGTGGTATAGATTTTATACTACAGCTCAAAATGCACAGTGAAGAAAGGAAATAAATTTAAAATTATGTAGTCCTACTAGACGGGCGAAATGCAGTGAAAAACCAAAACAAAGTTGGAGTATAGGATTAGAATTAGTTTTCAATTGCTTCAGTAGTTGTCTCGCCGTTGTTCTATTTTCTCCTCCTGAGTGTATCTTGTCTTCATTATACTTTTCCTACTCTTAATGTTTTACCTGTTTATCACTCTGCAGTTGTTGATGAAGCATTGTGCATTTTGTTCGCAGACACTGTTGTTTGCAATATCTTTAGACAAACATTTTATTTAGCATAAAATTTCATTGAAATTTCAGAATTCATTTCTACTGTTCTGCAGGTTTCATATTTTTCTGGGGATGGGTATTTCTAATCACAACAACGCTGGTACTCATTTTCAAAAAAGAAGTTGATCATTCCATCATAGATAAGTCAGTTCTTCTATTTTGTTTATATACATAAGATTTTTAGACATTTCTAGACAGAACATACATAAAATTCATTGTTTATATCTATGAAGGGGTGCAATTAGAGCTAATCCTAGCCCGAAAAGGGATGAAATTATGCCGGGATGAGTTAATAAATTTGTAAAATAAGAGTTACACTGATCAAATTTTTATACTTCTAGAACTGCTGGAACATAACTGTTGTTCAAGTAAGTGCAAATGCTACTGTTTTTACTTATTGAGAAAAAGTTTAGAGCAACTGCTGATTGATTTATTATTTTAGAGATGATGCTGATAACAAGAATGAGGTGTTAGAGTTAGGAATTTTTCAAACCTATGCCGTTTTATGGAAAATCTTGCGGTTGAAGCCAGTTATGTGGATGGTTATCATCTTACTAACCGGAAAGGTAAAAAATACTGTGGATTACAGAACAAAACAGTAAATACAACTATATAAAAAACTTGAATAGTGCATTTAATTTCTTGACTAAGTCTTTTTTAATATAAGGGATTATGCATTATAAATATCATCACTTTATCTTTAGCGAGTACAGCTAACAGTGGTAGCTGATTTAGGTCAATGCTATAGTTTAAACTTTGGTGCTAGCTAAGACAATGATATTATGATGAAACCTATGGCGAAGAATCTCAAGATATTTTAAATTAGGTGTTTGTTTTGCAGTTCGCATTTGCGGCAACTGATGGGATCACAGGTTTAAAATTAATTAGTATGGGTATGCCGAAGGATAAGCTCTCCAGTATTGCTCTGTTTTTGGTACCTTTGCAGGTTAGTTCCACGCTTCGATAATTAAATATTTGTAAAAATGTGTTGCACTGTTTTCTTTCTATGCCATGTTTCAGATATTGCTACCGTGGGTAGTTGGCAAATATATAGCCGGTCCGCGACCTTTGAATATTTTCCTCCTTGCTTATCCCTATAGGTTTGTTGGGAGTTTTGTTTAATTTAATTTGTTTAATTTAATGTTAATGACGTAATACTAACTCTTCTTTTTGTATATTACTTCTAATGTTGGCTAAATAGTTCACTTTCATTATATATTTGTTTTATATATACATGTCGTTTAATCTCATGAAGTTTTTTACAACTAATGTTTGCCGCCAAAGCTTTCAGGATATTCTTGAGTGGAGTATTTGCAACAATGATTTGGTGCACACCTTCATTGTCTTCTAGAGACTTCCCAGCGTTGCTCTATGCTGTTTGGATCGTAGCATACTGTTTCCATCAAGTTTGTTTATCCATACTTTTCTGAAAAACGTAACGGTATTCATAATGAAAATTTATGTATTTTACAACATGATTTAAGTAAATCGCTCCGGTAGAAATGAAACAGAAAGGACTTCTTTTCTTTTACAAGAATTACTTTAAAATGTCTTGGTTATAATATTTCGAATGAATTGGTAATAGTTGAGTAGCTGTATTTAATGTGTTTTCTTAGGACCGTTCCTGTATCACTTACCAGTTGTGTACTTACAAAGTGAAGTGAGATCTGATATCCGTTGTTTCGAAATCACACATGATGCTAATGAAATAATTTATTTCACACATTAATTATTGCGATTTTCAGGTGGCATCCTATAGCATGTTTGTGTCACTTATGGCATTCTTTGCCCAGGTATCAGATCCAGCAATCGGAGGTACATATATGACATTGCTCAACACACTAAGTAATTTAGGCGGTAACTGGCCTGTCACACTTATTCTTTCGCTTACAGACCATTTCACTTTTAAGAATTGTGTTGTTAAAGGGACCAAAACGTAAGTTTCAGCTTTTTTTTTGATTACAGATTTTATGTGTGTAGGTCCCTTTAAATTTTACTAAAACATATTAGAATCCTTTGAATTCATAAAATTCTTCGAATGATTTACAAATAATAGGAAATACTACTCTGAATGTGCCTTTCATTTCCATGTATAATTTGACCGATTATTAATACCTAAATTTAATACTTCATCCATCATACGCGGTAACTAAGAGCTGTGAGAAATAATTGCACAGCTGACGAAATGCCTTTCGTCCACTTTATCTTATTTATTTTGTAAACTTTTTTTTTTTTTTTTCGTTTCATTTCTCTTCGAGATTTCAAGTTGCTTAATAATCTTCTATAGCATTCTTGGTTCATGCAATACTGAAGTGTCAATGAATCAATGCACAACAGAAGGAAATGTTTGCGAACTGGCTGTGGATGGCTATTATATCGCTGTTGCATTGTGTTCTGTTGTTGGAATTATTTGGTATAGATTGTCTTTTAGGAAAATTATGTATTTTCAAGAAATACCACGCAAAGATTGGAGAATCATAAAACGATAGGCCATGGAATCTGCATATTTTTGGGATTTATAAAATCTTACATTTACTTTCAATCTGCAAATAATAAGGTGTATTTTAGGTTATAAATTTGTTTTGCAAGCTTTTGTCAAGCTACGCCACAGTTTTTTATTCTGCTATCACTTTTAAACAAATCAGGAAAAAAGATTTCTCTCTTATTTTAGCTCTTTTATTGCAGTATGGATTTAAATTTTTACATTATTTCCACATTCTATTTCTAATTTCTGTACTGTTTGTACTGATATTCGTGAGAACTACTATAACCGATCATTAGTATATCTTTCTTTTGAGACCTTTATCTTGCTTTTTCTGTCGTCTTCAAACTGCTCTTGTAATTGACATTGCTTTTAGTGGGTCAACTTCTAAGATATCTGGTGTAATCGATTAATTTATGTTTAACAAAAACTGCGTGACACCAGCTGCCAGTTTCAATTGATAAAGCAGTGGCTCGCAGTATAACTGTGTAATTCCAATTTAAGGTGTAACTAAATGCTTATCTGATTTCATCTCGTCAATTCCTGTGCTCATGTTGTTTTGTTGTAAACCAAAATTTATATTTATACTGCGATTTCTGATAGACAGGTGTTCGTTTTCTTTTTAAATTATATTGTCTATATTCCCAGTCACATTTTTGGTGTAATCAGGGTTGTGATAGTAGTTTAACTTGTTTCTTTTTTTTTATTGTCACCTAATAATTATTTATTTTTGTGGAAGAATAGACGAGATCTGCATTTGTTTTTTCTCGTCTGCCCAGGAAACGTTTTATGCCCGTCACTTTTGAATATATGAGCTACTTGCATGGCGTTTGCTAATATTTTTATTTTTGATGGCACTCATATTCATGTAGCTTATTAAAATATTTCCGTCGCACAAGTGACTGATCGGAAGCTGTCTGATACGGTTAAGTGTATATATATATATATATATATATATATATATGCTCGACTCCTACTCTGATTTCATTCGTTTTATAAAGCAGTAAAATTGTATATCACACGCTGTACAGAAAGCGTTTGATGAATATTAATTATGTAGTGCACTTCGTTTAGTAAAAGTGTTGGTGTGCGGTTGGTGGTGTGAAGGTGATTGTTCCATTACATTAAAAATCGGAAAGAGACTCTGAAATCTAAAATTACTGCTTAGAGTACTTAGGGCACATGCTTCTCTGATCGGTTGTTCTGAATAGTCTGGAGAATCGTTTGGTACATTTATGTACATCTGTTCTGTCTAAACTATTTACATATATGTATATATACATAGATTAGTTAGTTGATTGATTGACCTAGATATACAAATCTTTTAGGAACGAACTATCAGCAATTCTGAGAACCTGCATAACTGAAATTGAAGTGAAAAGAGCAGGGTTCCTCCTGCTACTTCACCCAAAATACTGACAGCTTTCCATTAATAGTGCATTTTGCTGCAAGAAGTTATTTATAGTGACCTCACTCGAGCAAAAAAGAAATGGATAAAACTTACTATGATCGATGGGCTGATAACGACAACGAGAAGGTAAAAGAACTCCGAAAGAATCAAATATCCTGGAAATCGATACTTTCAATTTTTGGATGATGAAATATTATATTACAAATCTTAAGAGTTTCTGCAATGATAGAACCTGAGTACAACGTTCGCAGAATGGGACAGAGCCGTGTCCTCCTAATTACACCACCAATCTACAGTATTACAACTAATAAATGATACTTTATTGTAAAATATGCTTCAGTTAACAGAGTCTTGTCGTCTTGGACCGACTGATGGATCCAAAAGCAGTTTCATTGCATCCCAATCCTTCGAAGTTTGGTTTTAATTGAGAAAAACCTGACTGTTGAAACTTACATAAATTTAAAACCCAGATCTATTTCATTCTTCTCTAAAGGAATTGCCACTATTTCTGTCTGATAAAGATAAGTAAATGTATCCTGGCTGTTTAGAACGCTGAATTTCAAGAATCCTCTGAAGTTGAGCTTGAAATGAACCGATACTATGGTTTAACTGAAGTTGATTGCAGTCTACAAGATGTAAGTTGACACTTTTAGGATTGTCATAAAATTCCATGAATTCAGCATAGAAATTGCACATAAATAATACGGAAATAGAGAAAGGTAACATAAAATACAATGTCTCTTACTTCAATGATATCCTACTCAAATATGCTTAAACAATACAAATATTAGATCTATCATGTCGATTTGATGAGACATTCCGGAGGAACATCCCCAAAAAGTAACAGAGCTCAAAAGTTATTCTTGGAAAATTCCAGGCCATAATGCGGATGATTTATGCGCAAAAAGTGCTTAATAAAGTGACGCTAACAAATAAGAGTGCCGAATTCTGCCAACTGCTGGAAGATTTCATGCATAACATTGGAGGAATGCAAATGAAGCTAAAAGCTTTAGTAAATTAAAAAAAGAACTTCCCTTCTTAGAAGTTGAAAGGGTTTCTAAGTGCTAGCAGCGGGTTTCATCCACGTTCTTTGTGATGTTGCATATTGAAAGGCTAAAAAAACCAAACCACCGAAATCTAATCGCCACAGCTCATTAATATAAATTTATTAAATAAAGCTAAACCATTCCCTACTTGAGAAACTTCTGTGTTGTTATGAATCATCTTGACTTTTTTTGTGTGAAAACATGCTGCTTCAACATTTATGGGTACTTATTTATCAGGGAAGTACTAACTGAAGTTTTTCTAGCTTTCACCATTTGCAAATATGGAACAATTTTGGACGGACCCCCTTCCCATGACCAATACCGACCACAGCACAGGTATTTTGAGCTCTATATCCTGCACGCACACAATTGGCCTTAATTTAAGACGTTGTCCAATGGATACATTCAGTCTTAAGAATGAAAAGAAAAAAAAAATTTTTCGAAATCTAATATTCCTCAATTGTTTTAGCAGGCACTACAACATCACTATTTGGTAATACGCCGATCAACGAACAAACATGAGCACTTCTGGTGTATCTCGTTCGCTTTTTTTGTCCAAATTAATTACTCTTACCTTCTTTGATAAGAGTTTTAAAAAACTACATGAGAAATTTTACTGAACGCTAACAAAATAAACAACAGATCGATTCATTTGCAACAATTCCTTAAACATTTTTCTCCTCAGAAATGGTTTCTTCGGTATGTTTGCCCTTCAACAGGCCTGTTATACGTGCTCGCCCGGCAGCTTTTCTTTCAATCATCGCTCGTCGATCCTTATCCATCTTTAGTTTTGTCAGCGCTACCTTAAAAATTATGCTAAATCAACTAATCAATTAAATCAACTAAACCGAACAAAAACCACTAGAATGTTGAAAAACGCACATGATGCAATCATGATGCTAAACTCACTGCCTGACTATGCTACATGGAACTGAAACATACGGTCTTCACCAACCAGCAAGATGTATTCCTACGCATTTTAAAATTACACCATACAATGAAAATGACTTTGCTCACTTCAAAATTGCAAAGTCCATAGCAGCAAGCGATAAGTCAAGAACATTAAATTATGACAGTAGGTTAATTAAACGTGCATGAAATTAATCCCTCACTATCAATTATGTAACTGGAATGCAGCACCAATAACAATGTTGCAGTTCAAAGTATTATAAAAACGGTGAACGGTGAAATTGATAGAAAAAGGAAAAACCTTGGATGGATGGATTCCAATATGTACTGTAGAACCATTTGCTTTTTCACGAGTAATTTTATCAATGTGGATAACGAATTTTTTCCGGTAAACACGCATTACACGCCCAGCGTTTCCTTTATAATGTCCTCGAGTAACGGTGACTTCGTCATCTATTCTATAACAGGAATTCTTTCATCGAATTCACCGCAAATTTTGCATGTTATGAAATACAAAAACAATACACAAAAATTTTAAAGTTACATATTTCCTACCAGAATGTTAATAATGTAGCTGACACAATATAAGTGATTTGTCCCTACTTTCCTTTTATTCTATTGATTTGGTTGATCAAACTTGGACTCAAACTAAACGATGTATTTTACCTGATCGGTATTGAACGGATCCCATGCTTGTTACGTAAATCTTTGGTTAAAGGAGCACTCATCAATTTCCTCCTAATATGTGAAGGAGCATTGAAGTGTGCCTTACGAGCTTTCCTAGCTGAAGACGACACGAACTGATTTTGCTTCATTTTAATTTGAAGACCTGAAAAGCGTCGCATGCACGACAACAGATGGTATAAATGGAGATAAAGCGCAAGAAACTCCGCAAAATTCAACCACCCTAATTCATGCGAGAATGAATGACCTTCAAGATGAAGTACACTTTAGCTGAGTATCTCACATCAAATGGCCAAAACCCGGACACCAACAAACCCCCACCCTGATCTACCAAACAGCCCAATAGGAATCAATCTCCACCATACCTCTGTGATACTCACCTTATGCCAAAATGACGGTAGCGAAATGAAAACTGCGTCTCAACCAGTTGAATTATGTGAAGTTCCTTAATATTTGAAGCAAATCAGTAATACATAGATAAATATGTAAATTGTAAAAATTCTAATATTTGATCTGCAGACAAAAATGACTGATCAGTCAATCAGGCAATGAACTGGAATGAATGCATTCATGGGCAGTTTATCATTACTCGAAAATAAAATGAAGAAATTTTAGACTTCGTTAAGTATCTTTTCTTCTTTTTATTCATTACTTTCAAACTTAATTAGAACGATATAATAACCATCCCATCTCTCTTTTTCCCTTCCATCTTTATTGCCATTTTAACATTTAGCTTTTGCGTTGCAACATTCGCTATTATTTTGACATTTTAGCATAGAAATTTGAATATTGGCGCTAATTTTGTGTTCGAGTGGAGATGCTCACTTTCTAATAACTTACGTTAGATTTACGAGGTGGACACGTAGTTTACGTTAGATTTATAAAAAGCAAAGTTTTTGCAATGTTTGCCATGCAAATTTGTGTTGTGTGGTGAACAAATTTCCTTATTGATTAATTATCCACTAAGCATTATAAACGGTCGTAATAATGAGTGAATTCTGGTAATTCGCACTGCATGAAATTGTTGTATTATTATCATTAACTTTTTTTCACCCTTGATAGCTTAAACCTTTTAGTAAATGAATAGTTGTTCGTCCACAAGACCTGGCAGGTACTATTGATTGTGTTTAGTCTGTTGAATTCACAGTAAAATTTAGCATGAATAGTGTTGTTGCTACATCACTATCAAGTTCGGATAAAAATGAGGGTTAACGTGTTCATGCATCTTTTAAAATTACGTAAATTAGTAGTGACTAAGGAGCTGTAAGAATATAGTAGAAGTTATTCGTTTTGCAGAAGTTATCTGTTCGAAGAATGGAAAGAGGGGACAAGGATCGAAGGTCATCGGTATGTTTTTGACACAAATATCAATGATATTGGTAAGTAGTGGTAGTAATTTGATTCCTTTTTCTTTGGAATTGATTTTATGCTTTTGTTTTTTGGTATGTATTCAAATTATAGTCAAATTTTGCTTGTTGAAGTATAATTGAAATGCGAAGACCGAGCACATGAAGGAAGGATTGACTAGTCTCACATAGCAAAAAGTACATGTTATTTCCAGATACTCAAGCCACATCATCCCCCGAACGTTGAAAATGGTGAGTTGTCAACGACAATAACGGCCACGGTAAAAAGACGTGTCAGCTTTCATACCGTTCGGACTGTTCAGTAAGCCATTTTTATGACATTTTATTAATTTGAAGTATTGTAAAACAACCGTTTTATAACACTTATATTAATGAATCTTGTCGCTTTCTTAATAGGCAAGAAGATAAAGAAGTGTTTCTGTTATCTTAGTTTACTTTCACCTTCATTGTTTCAATCTAAAAAAAATTCTGGACCAAAACAAATCTACTTTAACAATCTACTTTCTCTTAACACTTTGCCGATGCGTTATAAGATTGGAGCTATTTAAAAAAATATTAGTGAGTCAGCCTACTTTCAGTGAATAATTAGTTTGTACGAGTGATAACAATTTTTAGAGAATTTGACGTGGAACACAGTCAGATTGTACATTCTCCTCATAACGAACCTATGAAGTGTAAGTTTAAAGCTTTCCTTCTGAAACTTTCAAAAATTTCTGTGGATATTATATACTTTGACTTCTAATCTTTCATTAGTTATCTTTTGGTACTTCAATCTGCATTGTTTTAACATAGTGGTTTGCTATATTTCGTACGGTTACAGTCTGAGAAAGTTGAAGTCAGCTTTTTTTCATTTAAGGTGCCAGTTTCTTTCACTTTGGTAGTGCTTTAATTGTGCTTTTCTTCTAAATGGATGTAATAATCTTCATTGTCTGCAAAAATACACTTGAATTAACCACTGATTGCAGTGTACGATACGACAAGTTCGGATGGTTTAACTTCGGAGTAAGTCAAGCTGTTTGTTCATGGGTTGCTTCTTCAGTAACTTTTTAAAATGTGAATCTTTTTTGAAAATTGTTCCTTCCAAAATAAAAATGCTGCTCAGTACGTTTTATAAACGCTTCAGGCAAATATCTGCCTCTGAATCAAACGACGGATATACAGCAGAAATGAATATAAACAGTAAGATTTTGACTAAATTTTCTGCAATTAACCTTCGATCTCCTGATTTATTTAACGTCCTAGCAATACGCTATTCTTGTTAATTCTTGCTTAATTTTTGGGGTGTTGTTTGAATTGCAGAACTTAACCAAACAGTAGAGAATTTCATCCCCATTACTACATCTACACCACTTCTTCGCTTAGGAGGTCTGGATGATTTAAGCGATAATTCGACTCGTGGAGATGGAGATATTTGCGATGGTATGATTTCTAAAATTTCATTCCTGCATGCTTAACTTAGTTTCGTAATAAGCTACCTGCAATAGTGTAAAGTACATTTTTATAAATACTAAATTTTTATTATTTTTTTGCTACAGATGCTGGGTACTGTCACTCAACAGAGTCTCATAACGGCACACGAAAAGAAGAAACAACTATTGCAGTGAACCACATCTCGAAAGTATGTTTTTTGGTTATTTGTGTAGTTGTTTACATCGAATAAACATAAAATATGATAGAAAAGCAGTCACTGTTAGTGACTGTTTAGAACAATACGTCATAATATAATTCGCCGTGAGGAGTAAGCTCTTTAATCCCACCAAGGTCTCCAAAATAGAACAGTCTCGAGTAATCGATTGATCAACTATCAGGGATTAAGCTAATAAAAAAATAACGTTTCAAAAGAGGCTATTCTGTAACGTGTCTGATATAGCAAAAAAATGAAAAAATAGGTCAAAACAAAAGTAACTTTTACTCTACAGCCATATGCGCTATCGACAATTAAACGTCATCTTTTGAAGTTTTTCCCAATTTTTAGTGTTACTGTTCAGGAAACGATTCAGAATCAGAAACTGGATGTTTTGAAAGTGGAATCGATGGATATGAGTGATTCAAGTAATTCTTCTCCAATAACGTCTGATGCTACCAGAAAACTCTTCAGACCATCAATCGTCCACGGACATTTTGTAAAAATTTTCTATCTCGTTTAGTTTACCTTTTTGATTTTTGTGACATGCTATGGATGCTACTCCTTTCAGTGATTTGTCAAAAACGCTTTGATTTTGATTAATAGTAGTTAGTAGTTTAGTAGAATATAGTAGTTAGTTTTTAGATGACAAGTCCAAATCTACAATCAGATATGAACGATGAAACCCTTGCATCAAATGCAACACGATTGATTTTCAAAGCTGACGGAAACAGTAAACTTGGAGGTGAAGCTACAAATAAGGAATTGAAAATAGATGTTGAAAAAACATTTGTGATCTCTCCATATGCAGGCACTGCTGACATGGTAAGGAAGCTAATTATTAATGAAATTTTTTCTTAAAGTAATTTAAATGGACGATAGATACAAGATTAGGGTCCACTGCTTTTGGAAATATACAAGTTAAAATCTTCAGGATA